TCTCTTTCTCTCTCTCTTACTCTCCCACGCTGTCCCTCTCTGGTTAAATTAAAAATAAGTAGATAAAATAAAAGTTAGATTATTTTTAAAATAATGAAAAAAAAATAACATGACTTATAAAGGACAGAAAGACAGCAAGAGTATTCAGCTGTGACCATCTGCAAAGGACAAAACACCCCTAGCAGGACTCTGGCCAATAATCATAATTTCAATCTAATCCAAGGAAACTTCAGACAAACACAACATAAGATACAGTGTAGTAAAAACAAATTAAAAGGCAGCAGGGGGAATGTGTTCTTCAACAATCTCATAAAATACAAATAAATGCTGTAAAAATAGTGCTGAGCTAGATAATTGAGTTTCATAATGTTTCATTTACCACTGTAAATTTCTCTGAATTTCTTGTGCTTTAAATAGACCTTTATCATTTCCTTTTAAGCCACTAAAAGATACTGTCTCTATTCACAGTTGTATCCCCAATATCTAGCGTATGACAAGTGTTAGAACTAATTGTTGAAAGGCACTATAAGGAAAGAGAAATTTAACTCATTACTATCTCTGAGTCTTTGCTTACACTGTAACTCCTTCCTGCAGTGAAACTTTTCCTCTCTCAATCACACACATTCTCCAAAACCCCATTTTCCATTCATTTTCTTTAAGGAGACTCCCCACTCACACAGGTCCATTATGACCGTTACTCCTCTGTATTGCTACAGCCTTCATGGTCCATCTCACTGATTTTGGCACATGATCACAAAAGTTCCTCTAAGCAGAAGACAGTCTCACAGTTTTCCTGTATCTTTCACATAGTGCTAACAATATAAGTTAAACACTGGGGGAAAGGGGAGACAGGGACTCCTTATGTGTGAGGGAAAGATAAACGGATTGGGTGTTGGAAAAATTTGGCTATAATCTCTAGTAGTCTTCAACACTTACTAACTGTACTGCCTTAATCTTTTAGACAGTGGTGGTATGATGGTTTAAGTGACTGAATTTCACATGGTTAACTGCATGATCCAAGCTTGAAAAACACACCAGGTGCATGTGGGCCCAAAAGCCTTCGGCATGACCATGTCCCATTGAAGGGGGGGGGGGTTTGGGGGGCTTTCTCACTTCCTCCCCCCTCTAGTAAGTGCACATACCCTTCAGCAATTTTTTTTTTTCTTAGAGAGATGTTTGCTATAGGGCATGCACGCTCACCAGAGAAACAGAGACAAAGAAACAGAAAGTGAGAAACTGCCCCCCCCCCGGAGGGATAGCCCCACCATGATCCCTTCTCCTCCATTCCCCTCAGCATCTTGGGCACACTTGCACACACACCTGGCATGAGGTTTAAGTCACCCAGTCCAGAACTGAAACAGCTGTCAACTACATGGGAATCCAGCAATGTTACGCCATCTGCTGGTACCACTCTTTAGCAATTTTTTTAAAAAAAAAAAAAACTATAAATCACCTAATCTCATTCAGATTCTACTTCCCCATTTTTAAAATCAGATAGACCTACTGATCATAAAAGAAGCCGTTCTTTTTCTATAGTTCTTGAATAATTAAAGTCCTTTTTCCCTTAGCAATAGTATTGATATTTACTAACATAAAAAGCAAATCTAATACATTACTGTTAAATAAAAATAAGTTTCTTAAGAAATTGAACAGAGCTTACAAACTGCCTAAAGTACTAAATGTTGATCATCTTTCTGATCATCAAGTACCTTAAGTTCATGTTTCCCTTTAGAAAACTATCAAGCAAAATATTCAATACTTCAGTACTGTAACTACCTCTTTACCTCCCCACCCAACCCTTTCAAGCTTCAGAGAGGCACTTTCTGGTAAGCTAATGAAGAAAGATGAGGAGGAGGAAGAGAAACCAAATCTCTGTAAAGTATCCTAGGACCTTATTGGTGATGTTCAAAGACTGAGTTCAAATTGATTATAAGCACATTATCCATTACTTCTTTCAAAAATGCTTTTTGAAAAGACAATACTCAGAAGAAAATTACAATATTTAAAAGGTCATCTAAAATCAGAATATTAAAAGAATACAGCATAATTTCAAAGTATGGAGACCATTTCAAACAAATCCCTAAATCAGCAACTATATTTTCAATCTTACATTTTAATGGTTATGCTGAGAAATAAGGTTATTAGAATAGGGCAAAATAAAATGGTTGCCATTTATATAATGTAAAGATTCCAGTTATGTTTTTCAGTAAATACCATCTGTGCAGTTAATAAAATACATATTCTAGATTCTAACCTAGTAATGTGAATCACCAGATTTAAGATTTTTATCAAAATGCTCCTATTAAATGTTGAATATGAACACTGATCCACCTACAAGAAAAAAGATGAACTCCTTCATAGGAACCCCAGGTCCTCTCACAATCAGGTCTCTAGCTAACTCAGTAGCTTCATCTCCCACGGATCTCTGAATATCATTTCACTTCTTAAACTTATTCACTCTCCTCTTAGTAATACTTGTTCTTTTATTTATTTTTTAATTACCAGAGGATGTGTGAATTCATCAGAGAGAGAACGCGCTCATCAATGGGGGTGATGATCATGCAGCAACCTTTATCCTCCATTTCTCCAGTCAGGATTTGGGGCATGAACCAAATGGTTTTTCAAGTCACTGAGGCCAGGATTCAAACCACGCTGTGCCACGTGGACTCTGGTTCCCAGCACACTGCACTTAACCATTGTACTATGAGGTTGGCCCACTTGCTCCTTTTATGATTCCATGCCTTTGCTGCTGTTCCTATTGCCTGAGATGCCCTTCCCTCTTCTGAGCTGTGAATATGACCTCCTCCCTGCAGCTTTTCCTGATTGTCCCAATACCCTCCCATAAAGTGGCTCCCAGGACATTCTCCACATTTCTTTTAACACAGCACCATAATTACTTTTAAATGTCCACCTCCCCAGCCAGGCCGTCAGTTTTAAAAAGAAGATCCATTCTTATTAAACTGTTTCCCAGCCTCTAGAATAATGCCTCACATTTACTGAAACTCAATATAAGTACACTGAATAAAAGAAAGTAGAATTGTTAACTATGAGAAACACTTCAAATTCACCTATTAAACAGTGCATACATTTAACACGGTAATTCGTAACCAGGGACAATTTTGGTGCTAGGGGACATTAGGTAAAGTCTGGAGATACTGGGTTGTCACAACAAGGGGGAAGAGATTTGGCAGAATGCTACTGGCATAAGTCAGGCATGCTGGTTAACATCCTACAATGCACAAGGCAGAAACCTACAGCAAGGAATTATCCAATGACAAATATCAATAGTGCTGAGACTGAGAAATTAAGTTGTCAATTGATTTATTCATATATGATTTGACATCTAATATTGACAATAATCACAACATATTCCAATTTTGCACTTTAGCTGAAACTTCTGTAACAATCGATATATATGCACTAACATTAAAAATGTTATCTCAATGTTTAACATTAAACCAAGAGTACTGGGAAGCATGACATATTTCTGAAAACTAATGTATAACTACCAGAAGCTACTCTTAAATCACTAAACACTTTGTTTTATTTATAAACGTTACAGCAAACCACAGGCAAACTAATTTTTGCTGAGGGAACTATGACAAAAATACAATCTGAATCAGTTCCTCCTGGGCTGATAGAAGAAAAATCTAAATACTGTAAGTAAATCATGCACATCTGTCTTTAATGTAGAACAAAGGAACTGACAGAGAGTAAAGGGCATGCCCTTGCTAATGCCAAAATCATCGCTTATCAAGATTTCAAAAAACTCTGACAAAATCACTGCAAAAAAAAAAAAAAATCAAAAGTCAATACAGGATTTCAGATAAACAAGTTAACTATTTCTCCCACTACGAGATGACCAAGTTTCACATGACTTCAATATTTCACACACACACACAAAGCTAAGCAGAATCAAGAATACTCCCTTTCTAAGTAGTGGATGACTCAACTTTCTCTGGCACATTCCTTGGCTAAATACTACAAATTTACCAATTTCTTTTGTCCTTTGAACTCGGTATCCTACTCCCTGGGTAACCAACTAAAGGGTTTGGCACCTACTTTTCAATTACTTACATATTTTTCTGCCCTGCCAGTCTCAGAAAAAAAGAGGGGGGGAAGCTATCCAAAAACTTGCGTACTCCCATAAGGAGATTTTAATTATGCAATTTTAGAAGCTGATTCCTAAACAACACACCTAAAGCTTTCCAATGTTCTAACATCTTCAAGGTTTTCCCAGTTTCAAATAGTGACAGCGCTAGCAGAAACTGAGTAAATGTATACAGTCTGATAAAGCTTACTGCGGACGTATTCTCAAATAACTAAAATAAGGTACCAGGGCTTGGAGAGGAAAGGCATTTTTTAATTTAAAAAAAAAAAAAAGTTTCCAACAGTGAGTAATATCTTCCTTCTCAGCTGACTTCGCCAGTTAAGTGTTGGACTCACGATCCGGCCCACGCTAGGCCGGGTTTCACCACATTACCCTCCCATGTTGTCCACATGAAGAAACGAAGCTGTGTGAGTGTGTGGCAGGTGCGAGTCCGTCAGGTTGAGAGGCCAGGTGGGCGGGGAGGTAGGTTAGAGCCCAGCCAGCCGCCCTCAATCTCCCACCGGGCGTTCTCCGCCTGGCAGGCGGCTGGCTCCCGGGGCGCCCCGCCCCCT